ATTCCCAGTTCCCCACCCAAGCTAACTGTGGGGGATCTCTGTGTGATTTCACTGAGCAGATGGCTTTGGCTCCAGCATAGCTAGGGGGGTCTGTGCACAGCAGGCACCCATCCTGAGCCAGCTGCCTGTCCTGTGACCTCATACTTGAGAGGGAGGGAGGGTAGTACTAGGCTCCTTCCAGGCACAGGGACAGGAGAAGGAGAGGCCAGCTGGGCAGGAAGTGGCAGGGGCGGGGGGGATCCTCATTGCCATGTCACCCCAGCCATCCTGACAGAGTGGACATACAAGTTCCCAGCTGCTGCCTCCCACCAGCTCTCACACATTTAACACATGATCGAGTTTCATTGCTTAATAGGACTTTCCCCTGCAGGCTGGGGAGTGCAGGAGGCCCCTGCTCCAGCACCTGCCCCCCAGGGGGGGCGTGATTGGCAGAGGCGCCTGGGCCCCATAGGCCTGTGTATGAATCCACTCCTTTAAGGGAGATGTGAGGAAATAAGTACATAAGGGCAGACTTAAGCTTTCCCTGCTTGGCAGCTGGTCTGTCCCCACTGCTTAGCCCCTCTGCAAGGAGGTAAGCACTGTCTTAAATAAATTTGTTTTTGAAATGGCATGCTGCTGAATTCACAGAAGTTATGGAGAAGTGCTTTGAGTTTGAAAAGGTTGAGAATCACTGCTTTAGACAATCTTACTTATCCCTGTGAATGCAGACTCACAAAATCTAGCTCTGACAGAATCCTTTTGAGCTGTTTAGTTTAAGAGTTCCAAAAGGTTTTCATAGCTTGGGGCACATTTAAGCACATAGACTGTCTTCTTACAGACCATCAGGAAGTCCTTTGCAAAATATTATACACAAATGGAATATTTTTGGAGAGGCTTTGACATATTTTAGCCCCTGTCTTGTTCCCCATATACATAGAAGACCAAAAAAACCTGAGACATCCACAACCTTCCTCGCAGCTTGTTTGCACAGTCTAATATGTCTCACTGCTTAGGAAAAATACCTAAGCATTTTTCATAAAATAATTCCGTTAAATATTCTATTTATTCCATCAACATCAGTTTTAGTAAAATATCCTTGTGCCCCTCTGTTTCTTCCATTCTTCCAAATACAGGCAGCCCCTTCTTAACGCTGTTTTGCATAGCACTGTTTCGCTGTGATGCTCATTTTAAATTGATACCTGATTCCACTTAGCGAGTTTCATTATAACGCTTGTGGTTGCCAGCTTAGGTCATTATAAACACTTGCGGTTGCCATCTTGGGTCATCAAATACTTTTGGTTTTACTTAACACTTGTTTTGCTTAATGCTCAGTTTTTGAGGAACTAATTAAGAGTGCTAAGCAGGGGTTGCCTGTAATTCCTCTCTTTCTGAAGTCAACATCCTTTAAATAAGAGAGAGCTTGAATAGGGACAAGGTAACTGATTGTTGGCCAGTGGGTGCCTTGTACCCAGCTACCTCCTCTGTGCTGTCTGAGCTGCGTTTTTCCTGCTAGAGACAGTAAACACTTGCATGGCACTCCTCACTTCCACCCTATGGCAGGGGAGTGTTGGTGCCTGCCACTTTAACGGCCTGAAGCCAGCAGCTGGCAGGTGCCTGATGAGGGCAGCCATTTTGGATTCAGCGCTGCCCATATAAACAGGGCATTTTGCTGCTGGAAGGCCAGGCAACAATATTGCCTGGCTGCAAGGCTGCTGGTATCATCTGGAGGCAAGGGAGGAGCTGTAGGGGATGGTCAGGAGGTTCCTGGTCCTGGGCATGACCTAAAACTGCACCCTGTCGGGAGTGGGTGGTCTGGTAGGGCTGCCAGTGGTACAGGAACCCCCAGGAAATGCCAGGCCAGTTACCACCCTCGTGAAAGGTGGGTTGGGGTGCCTTAACCCCAGCTCCCACCTTTGGGTCAGGTGACAATGGAGGTAGAGGGGACCAGGCACGGGTATGGTCACCTGAGCCACCCAAGGAGGGAAGCCCTGAGACCCTGAGTAGAG